AATATGGCTGCACACTAATGTCAGATGGCTGGTCCGATAAAAGGGGACGCTACTTGATCAACTTCCTTGTAAACAGCCCGGCGGGCACTTACTTCTTGGAGTTGGTTGATGCATCAAGTGAATGCCAAGATGCTCGGATGATAGCAGATTTGCTAGAGAAGAGAATCGAGGATGTCGGTAAAGAGTATGTTGTCCAAGTTGTCACCGACAATGGTGCTAACTACAAGGCAGCGGACAAGATACTAATGGAAAGGATTCCTACACTATATTGGAGTCCATGTGCATGCCATTGCTTGGACCTAATCTTGGAAGATATAGGGAAGCTAAAGGCATTTAAGAAGCCTATTGCACGGGGTAGATGAGTCACCACTTTCATCTATAGGCATGGCAGAATTCTTAGTCTAATGAGGAAGGCAACGGGTGGGCTGGATCTTGTGAGACCCGCAGCCACTCGCTTTGCCACATCCATTCTTGCTCTTAAGAGTTTGGTCAAGCACAAGCAAGCATTGAGGAGTCTATTTACATGTCAAGCATGGGTCGGAAACAAATTGGCGAAAACTGCAGCCGTTTTGAATGTGCAAGACATTGTGCTTTCAGAAGATTGGTGGCATGCAATTGAGGACTGCCTTAGAGCTTCAGGTCCACTACTTCGAGTGCTTAGGGTAGCGGATGGTGATGAGATTCCTGCCATGCCAGAAATGACAGCATTAATGAGGTTTGCAAAGGAGAAGATCAATCAAGGTTTTCCCCACCAAAACAAGCAAGCTTTGCTCAAGAAGATCGTTGACATTGTTGACAAACGTTGGGAGAATCAAATGGATCATCCATTATATGGGGCTTCTTTGTTTTTGAACCCTGGAAAATACTTCTCTATTGTTGACAGTGGTGATAATGCCCTAATTGGTGAGCTAAGAAGTTGTTTTAATGATGTCCTTGCACGAACAGGACTTGATGTCAATACTCGCAACAAGATTGATGCACAAGCCGTTGACTATGAGGACAAGAGAGGACCCTTTGCTAATCAGATGGCAATCGATAACATGGTCGGAAAAAACCCTCGTAAGTGAACTAAAGTTAATTTCAACAACAAGCAAGTTAATTTCAGCATGTTATTTTCTGTACAAAGTACAAACTCCTAATGCATGTGTGTGCTTATTTTACCATTTTAGTTGATTGGTGGCGTTCATATGCTGGTCGGGCAGTTGAGCTACAAAGGTTTGCAACGCGTACTGTTAGTCTTTGTGCTTCATCATCCGGTTGTGAGAAGAATTGGAGCACATTTGAACATGTGAGTAACTTCTTTGTCTTTATTTCATCAAGAGAAAGTTAGTTTCAGGCTTTCAGCAAGTAATCTCAGCAACTTATTTATTCACTCTATTTGCTATTTGTAGATCCATACCAAGAAAAGGAACCAGTTACAACACCGACTCTTGAATGACGATGTCTTTGTTTCATACAACCAGAAGAACTTGGATAGGTTTCAAAAGAGGCATGAGAAGATGGGTGGCAATAACTATGACCCTCTAGTCATTGAGGATTTTGATTGGGGCAATGAGTGGGTTGACCCAACAATACCTCCACCCCAAGGTGCTCAAGGGTGTCCCGATGACATTTCATGGGAGCTTGTTGATGAGGCTGTTGGTGCAAGTTCGTCGCTGCAAGGTCGCAACTTTCCTAGAGCTAGCACCATGGCAAGGGGGGCCTCAAATGTTAATGTCCAGTACCAAAGGCAGCGCAAAAGGGCTGCTCCGTCACCAACATTTGTTCATGAAGATGACGAAGAGGATGACCAAGAACAACAATCAAGTATCCCCAATGGAGAGGATGATGATTCAGACTTTCTTCAAGATGATGTTGATGTGACCGATGATGATGAAGATCCAACTAGTGCTGACCAAGATGGCGAAGACAACACAAATGCTATCATGGATGAGTTCGATGATGGCTATTGAGAATTGAGTGTGGCCAGCCTTGCTTATGATCATGTGTTTGCCTGTTTGGAATCTAATTTATGTTGTGAACTTGTGAACCTAATTTATTGTGTTGTGGACCTAGTTTATGTAATATGTAATGCACTCATGTTTGTCATCTTGTTTTGCACTTTTTCTGTCATTTACTCTCTGTTTTTTACCAATGGTGATCTATTAATTAAGTCTAGTTTTAACCATATATGATATATGTTCATCTTTATGCAGATTTCTATTGTGGAAGGCAGAAATGGGAAACAAGATGGGAGGAATGGATGCTATGTGGGCTCAACAACCAGGAAATTCAAGGAATGAGTCGGTTACATGTCCACTCATGGCTGCCATATTAGTAACCCTAGCACCTAATAATAAGTGTCTAAGGCATCGCCTCGCCTCGCGCTTTGAGCGCCTAGGCGTTGAGGCGCCCCCCAGCGCCTTAAAGCGCCTGGACGCCTTGAAAACATAGGTAATGACCGCTTTAGAGGGAAGCTCTTGCTGAAATCACTAGTTGAGAAGTACTTGTTGCAAAGATCACTTTAACTTTCCGGATTGTGACATGTGGCGCACATGCAACGCGCCACTTGTCGCAACCTGGGAGTTTTTCCTTTTTTCGTAGATCCATTTATTCAAAACATTTTATCTCTCAAACCGTGTGTCCAAATCTTAAACCGCTTTCGCCATTGGATTCTTCGCGTCGAGATCTTCAAAACTAGATCCTATGTTGACAGATTTTGACGAATTTTTTTTCACGAAAAAATCAAAAACTGAACTAGGAGCACGGGTTTTTTCCCTTTTCGAAAGATGCACGCTCGTGCCTCTCACGAAATCACAACCGTGCCTCTCGCGGAAGCAAAATCGTGACTCTCGCGGAAGGAAAAAAAAAGAGAACGTGTTTTTTTCTTTCGTTTCCGAGGAGGCACGACCGTGACTCCCGCGAAAGCACACCCGTGCCTCTTACGCAAGCAAAACTGTGACTCTCGCGAAAGGAAAAAAATAGAAAATGCGTTTTTTTTTCGTTTCCAAGAGGCACGGCCGTGACTCTGCCGAAAGCACAACCGTGCCTCTCGCGGAAGCAAAACCGTGACTCTCGCGAAAGAGAAAAACAGAAAACATGTTTTTTTCTTTTCCAAGAGGCACGGCCGTGACTCTCGCGAAAGGAGAAAAAAACGCATTTTTCGCGCAAAATTTTTTTTTTTGAAATTTTTTTGGTTGAAAAGCTAAGGAAGACCGGTGGAAAACCAAAACATCGAAAAAATCAGAAAAAAAATCGTTTGAATAGCCGAAAACGCATGCGAAAAAATAAAATAAAATCCGAAGGAAGCGCCCAGAGCACGACATGTGGCGAATGGCTGAGAGCGCGCCAAGTGAAGTTGATCGTTGCAAGGCTCCCGAAGGAACGCTCGTTAACTAATGGCTCCCGGCTCTTGCTTTAGCCAAGGACCTGAATCTTGACCATTGCATCAGATTGTCTCGATGTTATCAATGACATACATTATCGCGCTGGAGGAAGAAACGGTGCCATCGACGTGGAAATAGTTGATAGGGGAAACAATTTTCAGTCTTGTACTTTTATTCATGAGCTTAGGAGCTTCAATTAGGAAGCGCACAATCTCACAAAATTTGCTTGTAACTTAGATATAGGATATAGGGCGTCATGTGTGGCTGGGCTCTCCCCTGGACCAGCTTGTACCTTAGAATGTTAATCAATAAATCAACGCGAGATAGAGTCAGTTCTCGCCTGGAGGAGTTTGCGAATGGGCCGGTCCAACTGGGCACAACCAGGCGCCTGCCTAAATGGGCCGGGCCAGCACGGGGGAGGCCACTAGCTCGTTTTTTTTTTGTTTTTTTGTTTTATGTTTTTGTTTTTTACTTTCTTTTCTTACTATATAAGTGTTCATTTTGTTGACTTGTTTAGTGTTCTTGATTAGGAGTCTCAATCAAGTGACATAGTGTATAAGAAGAAAAGAGAAAAAAAACTTTGTACAAATCTTCATGTAAGATCAAAAGAATATAGCATTGACAAAGACATAATGAATTCTCAGTCAACTGAGACTTAGCAAAATTGTTCTTGATTTCATAATTTTTGTGCATGCGGGGGGCGGCGGTAGGACCAGAGCTTTTTTGGAATCATACCGCAACCAAGTCATACCACTAGTATATCTCTTCTTATTGAAGTTGGTTGTGGTACCTTTGAAGAAACGTTACGTCAGGTGCTTAGGGAGTACCACCAGATAAAGTGTTGGAGTACAAGTCAAGCATCATGCGATAGCCAATAGGCATTGCCTAGAAGCAGTGGTTGCAGAGGCAAATGCAAAGCGAATTTGGTGATAGAAAGAAGATAAACGTTCCTTTTCAGCCCACCACAAGCTACAGCCAGTATATGGTTAGCAATCACGCTTCATAATCCTGTTGCAACCTGATTGGTAACTGAACCCAGGTCCCTTCTGTTCTGCCAACCACAATGTTGTTAAAAGAATCAGCAGCCTGAATGCCAATCGTGGTAGCCTTTGATAGAAGAAAAATACAGGTTTTATAACAAGTGCAAGCCAACTGGGAAAAACTGAAACTGCTCTATGTACCAAGTACACCAACTCAGGATCATCCTGAAACAGTGATTCAGTTGGCATAACATATAGTACATCAAAAACACGTGCATATCTCAATAGTCAGGAATTTTTCACGTCTTACATTTCAAGCATGGTGACTAATAATAGTAGAATCCAAACCAATAATGTACATATACTCTCGAAGAAAACTCATAATGTACACTGAATGCCACGCGCACACCAATCATCTCTCACTTTTTTTTACCGCTTCACATTTCCTTCTCTGCAGCACCACACACCACAATCCACAGAGAAAAACCTCTGTCTGCAAACAGTTAGAATTGTCTCAAATCAACCCGGACAGATCATACAGTTTCACGGAGGGTTCAACCTTGAGAGAAAGCAATCTAAACTAGAGAATACAAAAACGGAAAAGATGGCGATCTAGCAATCATGGGTGACAGCGCCTGACGTTCATCGGGTCATATCAGGCAACATTGACATCCTTCAGGGAGGCAGGATCCACCTTTGGAGGATCCGAATGGCGCCTCGCTCTTTCCTTCAGCTTATCTGCGGGTGTGACATTTGGTTTCTCTGCAGCTGGGAAGGATAGGCGCTTCTTTATCGATGAGTGGACCAGAGATGCTCTATCAGGGACCTCAAACTTGTCGGCGAATACCATGTGGTACCGAGATTTCGCTCTTGCAGACTTTGTGGACTGCATGTAGCTGGGGAGAGCTGGGGTGCTTGTTAGGCTCGAATCGTCCTGGATCGAGCCTCCACCTGTGCTCAGCCTCCTTGGGCGCTCAGAGCGTATGCTTGTGATGCTCCTCAAGTCATCCTCCCTGTATAGCCAGCTATCTCTTGGGCTTGAAGGTCTGAATTTTCCTGCAACAGAGGGGTTCTTTGATGGCGGGGTTGATGGTGATTGCCGGCTTGGTGGACGGCTCGACTTGCTTGGTGTTGCAGGCCTCTGGATTGAGAGAGCACGGGGCACAAAAGTTCGAGCAGCGTTAGTGCTGGGATTCTTTGTCAGAGCACCGTCTTTATCCTTGTTTGACACCACTCGGTTCTCCCAAGGCCTTGCTGACATCCAGCGTTCCATCCAGCTCCAGCCCCAATTAGGATTCCCTTGGTCTGTGAATGTTGGTGTTACAGTTCGACCAGAATTCTTCCACTGCATGAGATAAAAAACATGGAATTGGCAATATAATGAGAAATACTACTACATATGCTGAGCGGAACAATACAATTACAGTAGGTAAAAGCAAGGAGCACACAACAGAAGTAGAAGACACAGGGGAAACCAAAGAAGTCAGCTTGCCTGATGAGAAAATGCATATGCAAGTGCTCTTTCTCGTCTTAGTGCAGCTTCCTGTTTCATCATTAAGCTGGCCTCGATCTGTTCTTTGGATTGATGGCTATGATCCCAGTCTTCATCAATCTGCCAAGAAAGTTGGATTGTAACATCAGAACTATAACTCAATACATATAACAAAAGTTTAGTGGTATTAGTTGAGAACATGTATGTTTTTTTACTCTTTCTTCAATGTGAGTGGTATGTTTTTACTGTATCATTAATAACTTCTTTTTATGTAAATAGAGCGGAGAACTGTCCGTCAACCAGTTGGCTAGAGGTGCGCATGTGGGTGTGCGCCTATCCCGCCACCCACGTTCGAGTGCTGTGCTCTGCAGGGGGTGTCTCATGGTTGTGTCTCTTTATTTTTAAAACCATATGTTTGGGAAAAGAAAAGATGAAGAGCTTTGCAAGGACTATTTCAAAAAGGGTGCTCACCTTCATTTTCTCAAGTTCCCTTTGGTGCTTCAACTGGAGCTGCCTTTGAAGAGCCTGTTTTTCCTCCTCCATCTTCACCCTTCTAGAGTAGATTTGGGTTTGAACTCTTGCCATTGTTTGTGTGCAATGCAAGGTGTGGGCAGTTTGGCGTTTGACGGCATTTCCGTCAACTAGCGACTTCAGCCTAACAAGTCCTCTGAGTGCACGCAGTGCTCTCCTTGCCTACACAAATATTTTCCAAATTGAGTACCTAATCAATTTATACTATGCAAAAAAGAAGAGTTAGCACTCGATGCAACACAAAAACAGAACATATATATGACTCTTCATCCCAAGAAGTACAGTTTAAGAGTTCTACCCTAATAATGGTTCGCGCTATTCTGAATTATTTTTTATTCAGCTGTCATATCATCATTCACATTTTATGTGTAAGAACATCAAAATCATCAAATAGAAGTATGATTGAAAATGACCAGCAAAGCACAATCTTGGCTGTATTCCAAATTGGACCAACGACATGATAATGATGGATTAGACAACAACTCTCTCTACCAACCAAATCAGGTATCTTAAAAAGGGTATTAATTCATACCAGGCTGACATCTTACGCATGCCAGTAAAAACTGAAGACAGTGACCCAAAACCAATCGCAGCATATGGTTGCTATTGTATTGCTACCAAGGACAGACATTAATATAGATAGATAACAACAGCAAGCAATAAACATCGCGCAAGTGTAGATTCATTACCAAGTAACCCCTGAAGGCGGTCTGAATCTTGACAGCGGCGAGTTCTTCCTGTGAGCAAACAGGTGTCCTTGATGTGCCCGCGGGGACTGCTGTGAGGCGGACAACCTCAGCAGCGGCCTGGGCAGCGACGGCAGCGGCTTCCGCAGCGACAGCAGAGGCAAGCGCAACAGAGTAGGCATGCTTGTTTTGTTCACTCTCCGTTTCGACTGGCTTGACATCTTTTATCTCCTCGGGCTGTGGCTGAGGAGGCTGGGTAGGAGGAAGAGGCAGCGGCAGCGGCGATGGAGCTACCGGAGTGATGTCTGACACTGTCGAGGTGGGTGGATCAAAGCGCTTTGACTTGCCAAATGGCCATTTCCTCCGGGATTTAGGCTTGTCTGCCTTCTCAGTCTACAGGTGCCAAATGTCAAAATGGTTGAAATGACAAGCTACTGAAGATGAGGGCAGATGCAAAATTGAAGTCAATTGTACATGTAAAGTACAGTATTTTTTATACCTTAGCTTCTTTCCCCTCCGGATCAGAGGAGCTGAACACTCTCCTGACAGCACTGAACCACTTCCCTTTCTTTGCCATATTTGGTGTCCCCTTTCTGCACCTTCTTCACCTAAAGATCAAAAGTTTCAGAACACTAGTGCTAGAAGGGAAAAAAATCATCTAAAAATGATAGAAGGAAAAAAGGCCAGAAAAATCCAAGGTTTATACAGTCTATAAATCATAGCATATGTGGATCGGGCACAAGAACAGTTGTTCCACCAAAATATTCAGAGATCAAAAGGTTATGATACTGTCGTTCTCTAATGAAGCAGGCTGTGTAAAAATCTGAAAGAAAGGAAGCAGGTTCTGACACCGAAAAGAAAGCTTACTGACAGAAAATCGGCAACGAAATCAGCTACGAACAGCGGAGCTACGAGGCATGTAAGCGGACCTACAATTCTATTTTAACCGAATCAATTAGGAAAAACATAGAACTACTCCAGATAGCAGGCAGAGATTTGATACGATTAGCTAGCGAGGACATAATCGTGCGTCATAAAGTAGAAAATATGGCAAGAAAGGCATCTCTTGGACGCAGAGATACCCTACTTACTTCCGCGCGTTACCCTTCAACACCCCATCAATCGGTCAGCGAAAATAATAGCAGCAAGAATCAGACACCAACCGAAACAGACTGAATTTAATCCCCCACATAAACCCTCGCCCAACTCCTCCGGAAAAATCTACTCTGCCGCACCTCAAACTTAACCAGAGCAGAAGAGCGCGACAAGGAAGAAGAAGCAATCAAGCAGCGCGGCGCCCGAAAAGAAAGCAAGAGATCCGACTTTCACATCGGGCGAGGGAGAGAAAGAGGCGCGCGAGCTTTCACCTCAAAGGCAAGCAACCGCCGAAAGCCCCGCCCTGGCTGCCCACCTCTCCCTCTGAAGCCACCCGTCGTGGGTGGTGGCGCGACGGGTCAGATCAACCGGAGACCGGGGGAGGCATTGCGGGCGGGCGGGCGGTCGGAAAGGAGTGGAAGAAATGGAAAGGGGAGGGGGGGAAGGGGGAGGAAGGGGTGGTGAAGTAGCCCACCTCCCCGAGCTATACTATTCCTCTTTTACTATGCTCACCTCACCTCACCTCACCCGTCTTTCGGAGGGAAAGGAAAGGCGCCGCCGCTTTTATCGCGGCTCACCGTTCCGCCGAGAATTGATTCCCGCCGGCGGGGCCTACGCACACAGCCGCGGGACCACGGCGCGCGGGCGAGCAGGCCGTTGGTGGCGGAGCGTACGGCGGCGAGCCGTTTCGCTTCCCCTCCTCCTCGTCCTGATCTCTTCTGCCTCCTCTGGCGGGTCGCCGTCGCGGTCACGGTCACGGCGTGGCGTCGCGCGCCCCCAGTGTCTGTCTGTCGCCTCTTATGGTGGAGGACTGAGAGGAGGCGGCGCGTGACGGGTGGGCCCAGCCCCCAGCCGCAGACGTGCTCCCCCGCGCGTGCCATGCGCCAGTGGCCAAACAACCCCAACCCAGAGCCGATACAAGAAACCGTCGCGCGTACGACGTTTTCCTCCGCCAGGGCCCGCGCGTCAGGGAAGCCCCGTGACACCTGTATCAGGCGTGGCCCGCCTGTAATAGATAGCTCGACCCACGCAAACGGTCACTTTTCTCGAGGTGGATCCATCGCCTCCGTTTCGTTCGGTTTTAACCCCGCGTGTTAATGGGGTGTTTATTACACCTGGTCACGCAAACGCCCCCTCCAGCAAAGGCCTTCTATGCCCGGCTGTTTCCTCACCAGCTTTTGATGAGTACGTAATAGTAACTCGTGTGCAGACTGTAAAGCGCTGCTCTTTCCGCGGCCGTTTCGCTCCGTCTTTGGCTCTTCTTTTCGCCGTCTTGCTCCGCGGGGCGGATCGGAGGCGTGGCGTTGCCGCGATGGCGCAATATGATGCTCCATAAAGAGCAAGCGGATCGGGACGGTTATAAAAGCGTTGGTGTCAGCGGGATGATGAGGCGATGAGATGAGATGAGATCCGTCCGCCACCTGCTACAATTGTTTGCTCCTTGTTTGTTTATCCCTGTGCTGTGCGCCAGCCTTTCGTGCGGTGTCCTGGATCTTGGCGGGGGCCGCACTGCACTGCACTGCACTGCGCCGCGCCGGAGAGTGGAGAGGAGCGGCCAGCGGGCATGGCCT